TTTTCGGTATAAGGTCAACTATAGGCACTGGGGTCCACATATTTAGTACTTAGGGGCTTGAACAGTTTTGGTTCGATTTAGACAATTTTTGGTCACAAGGTGGCATACTTTAAACTCATTATTCACGCAAAGTTTTACTCCGATACAATCATTGTTGCTTGATTTGCATAGTGGAAAGTGAAAGAATCAGATGGAATTGAAATGGTGTTATGTGGGAAACAATCGTGGTTGTAGTCCGATTCCGCCCATTTTCGCACTATGACATAGAAATATGAAAAGAACGTTATGTACCGAATTTGGTTGAAATTGGTTAAGCAGATCCCAAGATATGGGTTTTCACCTAAAAGTGGGCGGTGCCACGCCCACTGCCTAATTTTGAACGAGGTTTCTATAAAGTCATCTTATACCATCCCAGAGATAAAATTTAATGTCTCTGGCGTGTTTAGTGCTTGGTTTATCGCGCTTTTAGTAGTTTTTAACAGTACCGTTATATGGGGATCCCGGTTCCTCGCACAGTCTGTTCCGTGTGTCAGACCGTAATACGCCGGAATGTCACATGTACTGGCTGGTGTCACTTGTTGCCGTGTTCCGGTCTGCGCACCACACGAGAGTGGAGTGCGTCGTATGTTGCCCCATGCTGTAGGAGTCTGCCCCCGGAATCACACACAGTGGCGTTGCCAATCAACACCACAGTGCGACAACCGCCCATGCGGATAGTACAGCTGCAACAACCACCACCAACACGCACCCCACTCACCCCTAGGATCACGACTGGACACCCGCGACAAACGCGACTCCTACAATTCAACTGCAACGGAATCCAGAGTAAGATCGAGGAGATAGTTGCATTCATGAGCCAGGAGCGCGTAACGATAGCTGCGGTCCAAGAAACCAAGCTAAACAGCCGCTCAGATCTTCTAAGATGTGCAGGTTTCAACGTTTTACGTAAGGATCGCGAGCAAGATAATGGTGGAGGCCTAGCCTTCATATTGCACAACACCGTGCAATATCGTCTAATCGATGTTGACATCGACCGCAGGGACACTACCCTAGAATGTCAGGGTATAGCTGTCCAGTAAGACGATGTCGAGCTCGAAATATTTAATATATACATCCCACCAGTTACATGTTGCCCAACAGGATATCAACCGAACATAGATGTGCAACTTCGTGGTGAAAACCGTTTGGTGCTCGGCGACTTTAACGCGCATCATGATCTTTGGCATTCCTGCCTGTCAAATGATCGTAGGGGGATGGAGCTGACGGAACAGATTGACGATTCGATATTCTGCACAATGAATGACGAAGCCCTCAGCAGAATTATGGGCACCTGTAATAGCTCGCCCGATATTACCATCGCTAGCGGTGGTCTGATAAATAGCATAACCTGGCGACTTATGCTAACTGTCGCATCAAACCATCTGCCCATACTTATCTCGATCGAGAAACCTCCCGACTTTATTTCTGTGGACAACCGCACCTTCATTAACTTTAACAAAGCTAACTGGGTCGGCTTCACAAAATTTACTGAGGGCACCTTCAACGCACTACCCATTCCTACGGACGTCATCGTTGGCGAGCGTCAATTCCGCAAAGTGATCGCTGCGGCTACCGCTCGCTTCATACCAGCTGGTAGAGTCGCGGAACTCCGCCCAAATTTCCCAGCCGAAGCAGCTGTACTAGCAAACGAGCGCGACACCTTACGCCATGCTGATCCCTGTGATCCCCGAATAAGGGATATCAATTTGGAGATTCGGCAAATGGTAAACCAACATAAACGGACAAAATGGGTGGAGCAACTGAAGTCCTGTAATCTCTCCACCGGTGTGAGTAAGTTTTGGAATACTGTCAAGCCCTTGTCTAACCCGAGGAGACATGACGACCGAGTTGAAATTCAATTCGATGGCCATGCCTCCTCGGACCCGAAGAAGTGCGCGAGCTATTTTAGCCGGCAGTTTACACTGCACCCTTCGACCGACAAGGCCAAACGATGTGTTACCCGACGGCTGCGCAAAATGCCAAAAGACTGCGCACCACTTACTTTCACCGATGGGGAGGTTCAGAGTGTCATCAAAAAGGCGAAATCGTCTAAATCCATCGGCCCTGACGGAATAAGCATGCTGATGCTAAAACACCTAGGCCCAATGGGAGTAAACTATCTCACCAAGGTCCTCAACTTGTCGATATCCACTCTTCAAATACCCGATGTGTGGAAAGTCGGAGGAGTGGTCCCACTACTGAAACCTGGGAAGCCCGCCAACAAAGGGGAGTCTTATCGCCCGATAACTCTCCTTTCCCCAGTAGTGAAGACACTTGAGGCCTTATTACTCCCGTCATTCACTCACCACCTGAGCCTAGCAGATCATCAGCATGGCTTCCGAAAAGTGTACAGTACCACCACAGCACTTAGCGTCATAAACGCTCAGATAGTTCATGGCCTGAACCAGAAGCCACCCTGCGAGAACACGATCCTCGTAGCGTTGGACTTGTCAAAAGCTTTTGACACAGTCAATCACACAACGCTACTTGAGGACCTAGAACAATCAACGCCCCCTCCACGGCTGAAGCGGTGGACTATGAACTACCTGAGCGGTCGGCATTCATCCGTACTGTTTCGAGGTCAAAACTCCAACTTAGGAAAATTAAATAAGGGGTTCCGCAGGGCGGTGTCCTCTCCCCACTACTGTTTAATTTCTATATTTCGAAACTCCCCCAGCCACCAGCGGGAATTTCAGTGATCTCGTACGCTGATGACTGTACTATATTGACGTCGGGCAATGGAATCGAAGGCATGTGTTCAAAAGTAAACAGCTACCTCTCCGATTTTTCCCGCTTCTTCTCTGCAAGGAGCCTAACACTTTCCCCACTAAATCCACAGCGACCATCTTCACAAATTGGACGAAGGAGTACAGACTGGACCTGAACATTTCAGTCGATGGCACAAAAATTCCGACAGTTAATAACCCTAAAATTGTAGGCGTCACATTGGACAGTCTGTGCTCTTTCACTCCTCACACGACCGCGATAACTGCCAAAGTACAGAGCCGCAACAAAATCCTCAAGTCGCTTGCCGGCAGCTCTTGGGGAAAAGACAAAAAAACGTTGTTGGCAACATACAAGGCAATCGGCCGGCCGGTCCTAAATTATGCAGCCCCAATATGTTCGCCTGGATGCAGTGACACGCAGCAGAAGAAGAAGCTTCAGACCTGTCAGAACACTGCACTCCGGACTATCACGGGATACCTCTTGATGTCTCCAATCGAACACCTACAAAGTGAGGCCCGTATGCTTCCGGTTAAGGAACACAACGAACTCCTCTCCAAGCAGTTTTCGTAGAAACCACCCCTGTAGTCGCCTGCTTGTAGCGGAACCGCCTCCTAGGAACATCAAGAGGTCTTTCCTTGATTACGTCGACGACATTAGGCAGTACGCCGACCGGACTTCGGACGCTTCGAACTTCAGACAGGTACTGACCGCCATTCACAGTGGAGCCATCGACATCTTCACCGACTCCCTCTCAGTGAATGGCGTATTACGAGACGTAGAGCTCGAGTTGCCTCGCGAAACCAGAGGGACCCTCGCGCAACTTCGTTCTGGATACTGTAGCAGTTTAAACTCCTACAACAAACCCCACTCATCTAACACCCTTCTCCCTATGGTCCGACCCCGTCGAAACAGCTCGTTTCCTGGGCCTCCCGTTAGATGACCTCGACGACAACCAATCTGGAATTTATCACCCAAACGGGGACTAGGTAACCGTTACAACAACAACAAAAACGGCATATTAAGCCTCGACATGCCCGACGATACATACCTAGTTGGCTACGCAGACGACATAGCCGCGATAATAACTGCGAGAGATACCGAAGGTACGTGCAGGAAGTTAAACCAGGTGATGATAAGAGCACAAATGTGGCTTGATGCGAGAGGTCTCAAGCTTGCAACATAGAAGCCTATTTTGATTATAAAAGACATGAGTACAACAACTAAGGACACAAAAGGTTGTCAACTACCTGGAGGTAAGATTAGACTCCAGACTTACCTACTAGACACAAATCCAACACGCTGCCGAAAAGGTGTCTAACATAACTTGTCAACTGAGCAGGCTGATGTCCAATATAGAAGGACCGAGACAGGATAAACGGAAACATTTGATGTCGACAACACTAAATGTCTTACTCTACGGAGCAGTTATGGGGAGACACATTGAGGAAAAATAATCGACGCAAATCCCGCGAAAGTGTATCGCACAGCTGCTCTATCGGCATATCGTACAGTCTCGGGCGAAGCTATACATGTAATAAACGGAAACACACACACCCATCAACTTATTAGCATTTCCACGAAAGAAAATGTAGACGTTGAAGAAACAAGAAATATGCTGCCGCTACAAAAGAAGAAATAAAGAACGACACCTTGGAACAATGACAAGCTCGCTGGGGGCAAGGACGCCACGGCAGATGGACGGCCAGGGTAATCCGAAACATAAAACAATGGTCCAACAGGAAACATGGTGAGGTGGATTTTTACACTACTCAGATGCTATCCGGGCACAGTCCTGTATATACAACGACGCGATCGAGGACGACGCTGAACACACATTTTTCAATGCTAGCAAATGCAGCCAAATAGGCTCCACACTTTGCTCTGAATGCTTCAAAATGAGGAAAACTGGAAGAACGAGAAAAAGTATATAGAAAACATGTAAGTCTTAAGAAGAGAAATATGGAACGCGACCCTGAAGTAATGCGAAAGCTGTTCCAGGGTGGGCGACGGTTCCCTAGAGGAGAGTTTTTAGTGACCTGCAAGTTTTTAGTGACCTGCAAGTGGCACCTACCATTGCGATGCGGAGAGCATTTTTCTCAGACTCCCCAGAAAAAAAAAACAACAATTACACTTTCCAATATATTAGAAGACATCAGTGAATTATTTGTTTTAAGAGAACTCATATTATTATAAATTAAAAATTTGAAATATATATGTCAAGGTTATATTAGTACCTGTAATCCAAGTAATGTTTAACACTTTTGTTGCTCAAAAGCATAGGTGTGGGTTCGAATATACATATTTTATTTTCATAAGATGCAGCAATTTTTCCCGTGTCGGTACTGCAATCAAGAGCAGATATTTTAACATAGCCATGTGTAGCTCCTGGAATTATTTGTACTCTCTCGAAAGTACTGGCCAAGATTACAATATTACATCCTGCAGCATACGCCTGTAATTAAAAACAAAATTTATTACAAAATAAATATAGAACATTTATTAGTGTTCTCCTCTATTTGGAAATTTGCGCGCTCATGCAATCTGTTTAATAAAACTTTTTTCGAGCGTTAAAATTTTGAAAATTCATACCTCCTAAATTTTTTTAGGAGAAACTTTAGTATACCATCCGTCGATTTCAGGGTTAAGAGAGTTATGGTTGGATAGAGGAGATTCTCCAGATAAAGAATATATATAATTTTTTTTTACTCAATTTCGTTATATGCACAATAACAAATGGGTTTCATATTGACAGATAAGTATTGCCATATCAATATATATATATAAAAATAACACTGGCCGATCACACCGGGGTGGTCGTTATCCCTTTCGCGTCCTATTTCTTCCTGATAAAAATAACACTAGCAAATGTTGTTGTAGTTGTTGTTATAACGATTATCTAATCCCCGTTTGGGTGATAAATTCTAGATTCGTTGTCGTCGAGGTCATCTAACGGAAGGCCCAGGAAACGAGCTATTTCGACGGGGTCGGACCATAGGGAGAGGGGTATTAGATGAGTGGGGTTTGTTGGGCATGCAAAGAGGTGGTTAGTGTCATGCGGAGACTCATTGCATGCAGGACATGTGTTTGGTATGTCAAGGTCTATTCTGGATAGGTAGGAGTTTAACCTGCTACAGTATCCAGAACGAAGTTGCGCGAGGGTCACTCTAGATTCGCGAGGCAACTCGAGCTCTGTGTCTGCAATGGGTGGTGGTTTGACTCGTATTACGCC